GGTTAATTTTAATTACCTATAATAAACAATAAACAAATAATAAAAAGGTTAATTTTAATTACCTTCATTTTTAATTTTGCGAATTTCTTCAGGCGGTAAATTCGAACGAATAAAATTTCCAAGCGAAGCAACGCGCAGATGCTTAGACCACCTAAACCCAAACCCTAAACCCTAAACCCTAAACCCTAAACCCTAAACCCTAAACCCTAAAACCCTAAACAACAAATCCTAAACCCTAAACAACAAATCCTAAACCCTAAGAGAGGGAATGCAGGCACACACAGTCTAAGGAACTAGAGAAAATATTACTCTTGATTGTTCTATAGAAACCTGCATGCAAACCCTAAACCCTAAACCCTAAACCCTAAACCCTAATGCATACAAATTCTAAACTCTAAACCACTGGCGATCTTTCAGGTGCATATACCACTTAAACGCAAACCCTAAACCCTAAACCCTAAACCCTAAACCCTAAACCCTAATGCCGGTGCTTCAGAGTGTATCTTCTCTGCCCATTCCGAATCCCTTCACCCCCTCGACGTTTTCATAGGGTTTAGGGTTTAGGGTTTAGGGTTTAGGGTTTATCTTGCCTTGCAAAGAAGAGTGCTTGTCCTAGAGAAGAGAACTGCTGAGGTTTAAACCCTTTATTTACTCGCTGCTGCCCCCTGCCTCCAATCCTCAGATGCACAATGCCAAACACCCGCTGTGATATGCGGGATGTTAAAGAACGACGGGTCATAATGAGGGTTTAGGGTTTAGGGTTTAGGGTGGTAGGGCGAGGCCCTGCCTATAGCAGGGGGTTTGCTGCCACAGCGAAGCCAGAAGAAAGACAAGAGAAACTAAATAAATATAAATAAAATAAATAAATAAATATAAAATAAATAAATATATTTATTTATTTATTTATTTATTTATTTATTTATTCTTTTAGAGGAAATACAAAGCCCTGAACAAACACTGCAAAGGGGGGCTGATGGATACTGCTGGCTAAACCCTAAACCCTAAACCCTAAACCCTAAACCACACACCCTAAACCCTAAACCCTAATCATTATTGGAGTATAAAGAATGAACTAAAAAACCTGCAGCTGCTGCTGCTGCTGCTGCTGCTTCTGCTGCTGCTGGCTTCCTCTGTTTATTATGCTTGCCTTCTTGTGTTGTATGCATGCGTTAGAAAAAAGAATTTAAATAATACGCAAATAAAAACAAATAAATTAAACAAAATAAATTAAATTAAATTAAATTAAATTAAATTAAATTAAATTAAGAAGAACATAAAAACATTATTTGTTGTTTATTTATTTTAGAGTGTATGCCGACAGTGCGGTAAGACAGAAACGAGAGACTAAGAAGATATTAAAAAAAATAAATAAATAAAATAATTAAATAATTAAATAATTAAATAAATAATTAATTAAATTAATTAATTAATTAACTTAGGGAGGAAGGCGATTGGCTGAGCCGCTGGACCCGCCGTTCTAAACCCTAAACCCTAAACCCTAAACCCTAAACCCTAAACCCTAAACCCTAAACCCTATCTCCAGAACCATCAGCATCATCCTTTTGTTTTTTTGGTGGTGGTATGTTGCGGTTTGAGTTGGTTATAGGATTTGCTGCCTAGGGTTTAGGGTTTGATAATTAGGGTTTAGGGTTTGTTAATTAGGGTTTAGGGTTTGTTAATTAGGGTTTAGGGCTGCTACAGCTGCAGCTGCAGCAGCAACAGGATCGATAAAGCAGAAACAGCCGCAGAAGCAAACGAAGGATTTGCTGCTGCTGCTGCTCCTTGCAGCAGCAGCTTCACCTTGGTGCGCTGCTTGTGAGTTGTTTCTTCTCCTTCCTGCTGCTGCTGCTGCTGCTGCTGCTCTTCTTCCTCTTCTGCTTCTGGTTCCTCTGCAGCTGCTGCAGTGATTTGAGCCCCCGGTGGTTGAGCTGCTGCTGCTGCTGCTGCTGCTGCTTGCTGCTGCTGCTGCTGCTGCTTCTCAAGTTGCTGATGCTGGTGCACTTGCTGCAGTAATAACTGCTGCTGCTGCTGCTGCTGCTGCTGCAGGTCTTGCTGCTGCTGGCGGATGCGTTCAGCGTAGGCTAGAGCAATTTTCTTTCTCTCTTCTGTTTGAAGCTGCTCAGGTTGCTGCTGCTGCAGCACAGCAGCAACAGCTTCTAGCTGCTCATTTGCTGCTGCTCTGTGCGCAGCAAAATGCTCCCTTATGCCGGCTTTCAATTCTACTCGCTTGGGACAAGAAACCTAATAACACACATAAAGACAGCAGCAGCAGCAGCAGCAGCAGCAGCAGCAGCAGCAGCAGCAGCAGCAGGAGCAAGAGCAGCAGCAGCTTTGATAATGCGTTTCTTGTCTCCCTTATTGGGGTTTAATTTGCTTGTTT